CAGGTCCCCCTTTTGTAATATTTTCTTGAGTACAGCCAGATTATAATCCTGAATGGCTTGTACAGAAAAAAAATTCTTTTAAATCCATATGATCCTTCTTTGTTCTGCGTAAAGCAGGCCAAGTCTACTTGACCTGTGACTGATGAATCTAAATCTGCTGATTTCCTTAACTCCCTGAAGCCTATATGAAGTTTCAGTTTAGAAAAAGCAATGAAATTTCTAAATACATTAGCATTACCATTGGGGTGAAATCTACACTGTAAAGCAGTCCTATCATATTAAGAACTATCTCAGTTAAATGAATCTACTGACTGACAGACCTGTGCCCACTTTTGTCGTCTGTCAATTGGCATTGTCAGAAGCCATGTTGCCCGCTATGCCAGAGGGCTTCATCTTGACTTAGCATTTCAGCTTGTTATGGGGGCAAGGAATGATATGCTCTCTCTTGTTACTAGTTCCGGCTGAAACTAGGTCACCGTTGCCAGGGCCGAGGAAAGCTGGAGGGCTAGTCAAAAGACTGGGTAATGGGGCATTTATCAGAAGCATCTGATTAGCTGACCCAGCTGAAGAAACAGGGAACAATTACCTTGGCTGCGGTGGTTCTCATCAGCTTTCAACATGTCCAGAGCTCAGCAGTTTCCAGTCCGCAGGTAACCCTTAGATGATGTCTGTCAGCTAAATGGAAATCTGCCGAGACAAATATAGACTAGGGGTAGAAGTTAAAATTTAGGGACTTAAAAGAAAACTTTACATTTAGACTTTGAGTCTCAGAGTCCTGGGAATTAATTGGGGGACGGACAGGAGGAATCCCAAAATCAGGATTCCACCTCAGGAACAGACAAGTGGGGAAACTTAGGGCTGTGCTTATCTGGAGTCTCTTTGACACCTGTGACAGATGGATATAAATCTGATGATTTCCTTAACTCTCTGGAGCCTACATGAATTTTTAGTTTACAAAAAGAGATGACATTTCTAATTGTAAAAGGCATGAACAATTTTTCTTCTGTCCAGAAAGTTAGATATATAGATTGGACAGAGATAGTTTAGCCTGCTGAAAAGTACTTTTAAGTCTATACTTAGAAGACAACCATAAGAAATTTAAAATCTTGAGCTTGTGAATGAATAGCAGGTAGTCAGTGATTTCTTAGCCTATTGGAACTCTATTGATCAATGTTAAATGTTAATGTTAAAACTGTAAGAATATCATAGATGGGGAAAGAGAAATCTAAAGTATCTCCCATTATTTATATACTTTAATTCTTTTTATTAATCTTTATGACTGGTACTTACCTATTTTAAATTATTTTCTGAAATCCTCAGAACTTATTTAAGCTTTTACATCCTCAGACCTCTAGATATCTTAGGACATATTCTCAAACCCTCAGCATGGAATTTGAACCTTTCTCTTTCCATTTAATCATTTACCAGAGACAGGAGTAGTTGTTGCTAAGAAAGTGTCATTGCAAAACATGATCTTTTAGTGAAAAGTTACATCTGAAATGTGTTTATCCTTTAATATGAACAATGCTAGCAAAAAAAAATGTTAGATGTTAGCCATCCATTGTTAAATCATTCCCTGTTAGCCTGAACAGACCTTAAGTAAGGAGAGCCCCTTTACCAGACTGTTTAGGTCACTGTCTTGCTCCACGAGTGAGGTAGAGAAGATCCTCAGCCTGTAGTGTCCTGAGTTTCAGAGACTAAGAGAGGAAGGATATCACTGGCACAAGCTGCCTTCGTGGTCCATTGAGCACAAAGGCAGGGGCCAGGGCTTTGAGCCCGAGACTGTGGGTGCCCAGTACTGGGTCTCTTGAGCTCTTTCAAGCAAAGCCAGAAGGTGAGAAACCACAACTGAGACGAATCCTCAGTCATGAAGGGGCCTACCATTACTGCCAATTCTGTTGGTGTTGGATGTAGAATTCCAGTGATCCTTATTCAAAAAAGGTGACCAGGTTGAATGATACAATGTTTTTGAGGTTCTCAAACTGCTGGCAGGCAGGAGGAATTGCCAGGGGAGCCTGTGGAGTATCGCGACACCCAATATTGTCAAATGGCCCGAGAGAGACCTTGGAGAGCTCACGGAGGGTGAAAACAGACACACCACGCAGGCAAAGCTTATGTGGGAGTTTTATCGAGATAAAGAGAGTGCGGGGGGGGGGGGGGGGGGTGAAAGAGAAATATAAAGTGTGTGTGAAATTACCTGGTGCAACTGAGAAGGAAGCACGAAGCATGCAACAAGCCCCCTTAAGAGTTTATTAGAGGAGACACGTACAGGCCTAGTGAAGTCGGTGTGCAGAAAGAGAGAGCTGAGATGGCGTGTCCAGCTTTTGAAGGCTGCCTAGCGCATGTGCACAGGGGGATGCCATAGCTACGCCATAGGCAGATGATGAAGCTCACGCATGCGCGCAGGGGCTTACATAGCTGTGTCATACATCCATGATGCAACCATGCCACACATGGGTCACGCACAGCCTTTTAAGGTCCCCGGAGAGGCTAGGTATTTTTGCCTTGTCTGGACATGCGTGGCCCTGGAACCCGGAAGTGCCAGCCATGCCGGTTGGCTAAAATCACAACAGAGAGGAAGAGGAAGAAGAGGGAAGGCTCAGCCTACCTCTTCATAAGAGCAGTGGGAGAGAGTGGAAGTGGGTGGTGCTTCTCTCTTAAAGGGACCTTTTGTACCTATGTACATACATAGTGACGTAGCAGTCATAGAGCCCTGCGCTGGCCCGGGAACTGCCTGGGTTCTTCCTGCCAGGTGACAGGGCGAGCGAGCATAATGCCTGATTCCTAATGGGGGAGGCTCAAAACACCAGAACAAAGAGCCTCACTTCAGAATCTGGGGTGGCTCCAAATGTTAATCCTGAGATTTGCCGCTTGGAGGGCTGCAGCGTTTCTGCCACTGCAGCCACTCCGGGATCCGCAGCATTTTTACTTTTACCGCTGCAGTTGTGTTGTCATGTAGGGATAAGCCCTCCCCTTGGGGGCGGGCTGCCCTCGGGCGTATGTTTACTGATATATTGGGCGGGGAGAGGCTGCGCGCCCCTTCCCTTCCTCTCCTGTCTCCGCTGGCTACTCCGCTGGAACCTTGGTTTCGTGAGTCTGGTTTTGTTATTAAACTTGTTCAAATACCTATTACCTTGGTGATTATTAATCCGACCGCTGCA